GGGCAGGCTCCGAGCCAAGGACAGGGAATCCGGGATGCCCCCTCCTTCATTTCATGGGTGCTGATGTGAGCTGTGCTCTCCTGGTCTCAGAGACTCATTTCTCTACCATAAGGGCAGAGGGAAAAGCTGTGCTGCTGTTTTGGTCACCCCAAAACATCACCGTGGAGCAGGAGGAAACTCAGCCACTCGCTGTCCCCATGCTGGGATCCCATTGCCTGCAGCTGGATCATCCTGTGCTGCCTTCTTGCAGCCACATCCTTCCCCTATGCCCCAGTTCCTATCCTGCCCTGGCATTTCTAAACATTTCACAAGCACCAGCTCGGGAATCCCTGAGGCACAGGTGGGTGGAAAACCCTTCACCTGCTCCCCCCACAGCTGCACACATTGCAGGCTGAGCAGCATCAGCCCCTGTGCCTCAGGCACCTCAGAGCTGCCAAAATGTCACTGCCTCGCTGGAGACCCCATCCCACCCCAAGTTCCCCCCCAGACCCAGCGGCACCATCAAGTGTTTGTGTTTGAACTAAAATTAATTCCTCTTGAGACAGAAGCGGCTGATGTGCCCTTGTGTGCTGGGTCCTGGCCATGTCTCTACCAAGGGGTGCTGAGTGGGGAGGGTGGGCCAGCCCCCAGTGCCATGGATGGGGGTCCTGGGGGAGGTCAGTGCTGGAGAGGCCTGAGGGGACCTGGAGAACCTCTTGGGTGTCAGGAGACCTCACAATTTCTCAGCATCCTGCAGGGCTCCCCATGCCAGGGCAGAGCAGACAGGGATGCAACGTTGTTTACGATCTGTCCCTGAACCCAATGCCTCTTTTGAGCCCTCGTTTGTTTGTTCAGGGCTGGAGTCTGACCAAAACAAGCGTTCTTGGGCAGCTCTGCTGAAATTTGGGAAGCTGAAGAACAACAGCAAAAAACATAGCTGCAAGCTGCCTCTAAAAGGAGAGAGCCATGCTGCAGGATGGAGCTGGATGGGATGGGATAGGGTGGGGTGGGATTGTTGTGATGGGATGGATGGATAGAACAGGATGGGGATGGGGAAGGAATGGGGCACTGGCTGCCCAGTGCTCCACTGCCTTGTGCTCCCTGGGGCTGTGGTGAGGGGCATTGCTGCCCACTGCTGCCCAGATGTGCAGTCCCAATTTGCCTGTGGCTGTCTGCTCTGGACAGGGACCCTGGTCCCCTGCCCTCATCCCTAGAGCTGGCCTGGGCACACAGGGCACAAAGACCACAGAGCACAGGGACACCAAGGCAGAGAGCCGAGGGCACAGGGACCCCAGGACTTCTGTGCACCCAGCAGACCCAGCAGGTTCCACAGTGACAGAGATTCAGCACCACCAGCCAGGTTGTCACTGGCCCTGCTGACCCCTCTGCAACACTCTGGGCTGGTGTCCAGCAGAGCCACGGTTCAGCATTTTCCCAGCTCTTGAGGAATTTGTTCTCTAAGGATGGCTGAGGGGACAAGGAACAATGTCCTGCACGTCCCTGCTGCCTGCACTGTCCCCCACAGCCGGGGTGGCTACCCAAGCAGCACGGCTGGCATGGGCCATCCCCGGGACCCCCACTCAGCGTGGTGGCCCCATCCTGATCCCCGAGTGCTGCAGGGGCTGGGCACGGGGACATCACCCAGGAAATGGGACTGCAGAGGCACACAGGTCCCATTACAGCCTGGTGGGACACCACAGGACACGCATGTGGCTCTGCTGGGTCGGTGACAGCTGGGGACAAGCTGTTTCCCCTCCCATTAGTGCAGGCACCCAGTGTTCCTGGCATGGCTGTGGGGTTCAGGGCCCCCCAGGGATGTGTCCCTTGGGATGAGCTATTCCTGGGTCTGACGCAGGCAGTTGTGCTCAGCTGCTGGGGGCTCCAGGAAGGAAATGCTGCTTCCTGCCTCAGGCACTGGGGACGGGGAGAGCCAGTGGGGGCTGGGGGTGGCAACCCTGTGGGTACACAACCCCTCTGGTACTGCTCCCACTACACAGCACCCACAGGCCACCCAGGAACCATGGGTCCCACACAAAACTTCACCAAGTGCTGGGAGCTTTTGTAAAGCCTGTAGGAGGGAAAATTATTAAGCTGGAGAGATTTCGGTGACCCCTGCCCTTGGGACCCTCTCCCTACCACTGGCCAAAGCCCTTCCCAGTCTCCTCACCCAAACTTGGAATGCTGATCCCCAAGGGATGCTTGGCACTGCTAACCCAGCAAGGACCATGAGGAACCCTATGGCAAGGATGGACAGGGAATACAGCCTCAATGGGAAGTGCTCTGGGCACCCATGAGCCGCAGCACCTGCAGAACCTGCAGCACTCATGCCCTCCATGCAGACAGTGCTTGATGCCAGCTGCACACCTGCGGATAAAGGCTGACCTGGATGCCCACAGCTGTGCCACAGGGATGCCGCAGGAGCGAGTGCTGGACGCAGACCCCTGCCCACACCGCCCATCCCTCACCCTACCTTCAGCAGCCACTGGGTGCTGTTCTCCAGGATCCTCTCGAGGTGCCGCAGGCGCTGGGCAGCCCCGTGCCCGCCGGTGCCGGCCGGCGAGTCCCGCTGGAGCAGCACATGGGCCGGGCCGGGGGCGGCGCCGGGGGCGGCGGGGCAGGGCAGGGGCTCGGCCTCGGGCAGCACGAAGGTGTAGCTGCAGCGGCCGTGCTGCACGCGGTGGGAGCGCCGGCGGCCGCCGCCCTCCGCAGCCCGGCGCGGGGCTCCGGCGGCGCACAGAGCCGTCGTGGCGCAGGTCAGCGCCACGAGGCCGAGGCCGAGCGCCCGCATGCTGCGGGGGTCCCCGCGGGACCGGGCTGCCGCGGCGGGGGATGCTCCGTGCCGGGGTGGGTCAGTGGGCGCTCGCCGCCGCGTCCGACCGCGGCGATTTCGGCATTTCCTCCCTCTGAGCCGG